ACTCACTCACTCACTCACTCACTCACTCACTCACTCACTCACTCACTCACTCACTCACTCACCTGGATTTCTCTTTAATGTCCTGCTTTTGTGAAGGTTATTGTTTTCCTAGCATGTTATCTGAAGAACTGAACCTTAATTTTATCATATTTATGTGCTTATGATATGTTTTTGTTCGTTTTTTTGTATGTTTCCGTTTTGTTTTTGTTTTCTAAACCTTTTTAACTGATGCTGAGGATAGGAGTAATACCATATTTTTCTATATCTTCATGGAAACCAAATGTCATAAAGTTTAAGTAATTCCATCTCACTTCACCTGTATTGAAAGGGCTCCTTTGAGATTGACTCTATCGGTAAACATGCTTTATAAATATTAAAAATAAATTCTAGAACATAAGGGTGCTTGTCATTTTGACTTCATTATCAGTCAGCTGTGGATATTCGCAGACTCAGTGTAGGTTTGAAACATCAACATAGCACAGAGTTCACTTCCGTAAATGCTTAGTTACTTTGGTGAAAGATTTTTCGAAAAAACAAAAACTCATTGATACGGGTAGTATTTTATGAAAGCAGAGCAAAGGTTTGGTTATGGTTAAACCAATGAGATGAACTTGATAATGACTTTGAGATTGGATAGTGTGAGAGGCAGTACTTGCCCTATTTGTGTGTGTGTGTGGTGTGTGTGTGTGTGTGTGTGTGTGTGTGTGTGTGTGTGTGTGTGTGTGTGTGTGTGTGTGTCTTTTCCATTTGTTTTCTGAAGAACTGGTAATTCAGTATGTCATTATCTACCACAAAGGGAGCTTAACCCATATGTTTATGCATGCACGCCTGTAGAATCGTCTTTCCTTTGAATCCTCTCTCAGAATAAATTAAAACCCCATTTGTCTTCTATTACGATGAGGATTTTTTTAAAATCAGTAATTTCCATTCCTCCCATATATCTCGTAATTTAAGCTTTCTCCTCTATACATTCATTTTATGTATTCATTTAGTGTTGGTTTTTTGTCTCTTCGTAGGTTTTTAAAAAAAATTAAATTACCTTTGATCTGTTTATACATATGCCCACACAGATTATCTAACTGTGCTTTTATTTATTTCTTATTGCACTGAAAATACATTTAGTTGGGTGTGTTTAACTTTCCTTTATTTCACTTCACTGTGACAAGCCAGGATCAACCAATGCTTTTTTAAATGTGTCTTTTTACTAGTATTGTACCTTCGAGTTAGCTGGAGCTGTCTCATTCTTTATTATCATTAATATTATTATTATTATTATTACTATTATCATTATTATCATTTTTATCATTATTATTATTATTATTATTATTATTTTACTTTTTCTTAAAAATATAAATTTTAAGGGTGGCGATCGGGATCATTTGTATTTTAAAATATTTTTTTAATTGTAATTTTTGGGTGGGATGGGGGTTGAATACTTTTTAAAATCATACTGTAAAAGTCATTTATTTAGCCTATCTGTCTTTCCCACTGAGAGGAGTAGAATTTTGACCTTCTTTTCTTGTAGGCAACTGTGCTGCAAGGTCATTTTTAGGTATCACGACATTTAGTGGTCAGTCGTGACCCCCCCAAAAAAGTCTTGCAATTGATAGTCAAACCATCGTCCCAAAAAGGTAGTCTGAATGACAAAGGTAATAAAGGCAAGAGAATTGTTTTAACGTTATAATAGATGAGCTGTATTGGGATTTTTATTTTGTACTTCAACCTATCACATTTATATGTTTAAGAGGAAAGGGCATTTTGAGGGAGGAGAGAGAAAAAAGGACTCATGTATACACACACACACACACAAACACTCACATGCGCGCACTCACACTCATGCGAACACACACACACACGCACACGCACACACATGTGTGCACACACACACACACGTGTGCACACACACACACACACGTGTGTGCACACACACACACACACGCACGCACACACACACACATGCACACACACACATGCACATGCACACACACACATGCACACACACACACACACACACACACACACACACACACACGCGCGCGCGCGCGCACTTACACTTACTTTACTTTTACTTTGCTTTTCCGATCCAGCGGCCATTTGGGTTCTAGCCCTTTGGTCTGGAAGCGCGCATACTCAAACACACACAAACACTCACACTCATATGGTCTTTAATGGAACATGCAGATGTAAACCAATTTATGTGAGTTTTCACAAAGTAGAAAAATTGATGCGTGTACATTTTTAGGTCAACAATTGATCTGACTGATAAAACCTGACTTTTTAGAATATGGTTAACACTTTTTCAAAATGATCAGATTGTAACTTGATATTATTTAGATACCATTACGGTATTAATATTTCCTAAAAATATTGCCGTTTTATTACATTTTACTAACATATCAAGGGTTTCTCTAAATTCAAAATTGCTAAAACTTCTGCTTCATAGTCAGGAAAATTTTTTTTCTTATTTTCTAATGTATCTATTCATTAGCATCTTTTAAAACATTTACATATCAATCATTATGTATATATTCAAAGATGGACTGATTCTTTTTTATTAAAGAAGTATTTTATAAGTCAGAAAAATTATACTATGTAAATGACTGGATCTTTTGATGATGTGCCCTCTGTGGGCTCTTCTAAAATATTAACGTTTATCAATACAGTATGTTTTAACTCCCCTGAATGAAACAAACAGTTTATCAATACAATATGTTCTAACTCCCCTGAATGATACAAACAGTTTATCAATACGCTATTGTTGAACTCACCTGAATGATACAAACAGTTTATCAATACGCTATTGTTGAACTCCCCTGAATGATACAAACAGTTTATCAATACGCTATTGTTGAACTCCCCTGAATGATACAAACAGTTTATCAATACAGTATGTTTTAACTCACATGAATGATACAAACCGTTTATCAATACGCCATTGTTGAACTCCCCTGAATGATACAAACTTTATTCCTCTGACAGCTCATCTCCTCATCCCTTCCCCAGGCTTGGGTCCCAGTCTTCAGTACAACCCAAGGCCCAGCAACCCTGGCCCCCCACCCCCGGCCCTCCCCAGCCCCGGTCAACAAGCTCAGGAGATGAACATCCCCAACGACCTCATCGGATGCATCATCGGCAGGGGTGGACAGAAGATCAATGAGATCAGGTACAGACTTTTTCCACATTCACATGGCTCTCAAAATTCCTGTCGATGCGCTGCCTCAGAATTACAAAGTTCTATGTGACATTTTTGGACGTTTTGAGTTACTAGTACCATGAGGTCAGAAAAAAAGATGCTCTGTCTGCTCTATCAAAGTGGTAAGAATATTGCGAGTCATTATCAAGATATTCAAAGAATTGCTCTCGCAAAAGCTTGACATGTTGTGAAACTAAAAAATGTTGACGTCAAATTTCTCAAAATTAGGTATTGAGCAGACAGAACTTTGTCATTCTGAGGTAGTGAATGGGGTTTTCTGGTTGTTTTGGGGGAGCTTTTTTGTTGCGTTTTTGGTTGTTTTTAGGGGTTTTTTTGGGGTGGGGGGATTCATCCATTAGGCATCTTCTCAAGGTGATAGATGGAAGCTCAGGGGTTGATCAGTCCTTTTTATTTCTTTTCTGCACTTCATTTGATGTTCTCTGTTCTTTACAAAAATTACAAATATGCTGTTTACATGTTTTAATTTTGTCAATAGCGCCATTAAATGAATAGTCCAACTATTTTCATGAAATTTGGCAGTAATTGTGCTACCTGAGTGTAAACTGCACCCCAAACAACAACTGTTTTAACCGATGTACAATTTATCCAGTTATATAAAGTCAAGGTTATCTACGCAAGTGATGAACATCAATTCTGATTTTGAGTGCTATTGTCAACTCCTACCTTTCTGCAACCCCCCCCCCCCCCCCCCCCCCCCCCCCCAAGTTTTTTATCCCGCTTTCTCCATCTGTGCAAGTCTTTTGCTGTTTTTACCTTTGTACAATTGTTTTACGTCTGTGGTAATTTTCCCTGACTGTGTCTTTGTCTCCACAGACAAGTGTCTGGTGCTAATATCAAGATCTCCAACGCAGAGGACGGCTCATCTGACCGCAAGGTGACCATCACCGGATCCCCAGAGTGCATAGGACTGGCCCAGTACCTTATTAGCACCAGGTTGGTCCAGCAATCTTGCTTCATTTACCCCATTCAGTACAGGTGAACTCTTTGAGCAGGTGCGCGCCGCGGACGGAGTGGTCATGACACACGCACACATGCACACAGCTCTGCGACTGCTCTGACGTAGCGTACTGTGTTCTCAGCTGAACATTGAGGACCTGGGCTAAAGGCTTTAACTTACGTGACGAAAGCAAGAGGTTTTCATTATTTATATTCTGTCTCTATTTCTAGAAGCAGCTAGGATTCAACATTTGGCTCTCCTGAAAGAGTAAACTGCTTTAATCTTTTTTTTTTCAGATTTTTTTGGGGAAAAAATCTTCATCTCTCTTTTAATACACTTCGAATGTTTAGTTTTTCATTTCTTTTAATACAAGTGCTTCCTGGTGGCTGTTTTGAAGATAAGTTTGTAGTGATTGGTGTCCATTTGTGCAGCAAGTTTGAATGGCAGGAGCAGAACGTTTTCACCTTTGATTTGTCACTTTTTCGTGGTTGTGCTGAATTATTTGTTGAGCTGTTGTCGTGAACACTGCTTTTCAAAACAAAAATCCGACTTTTTCAGACATTTTTCTAGACATCGGTATTGGGATCGGACAGATATAAATATAATTCTTTCTTTGAGCACCTCTTGTTGGCCCCGTCACAGGCGTAATGTATACATCAGTGGGTAGGGTTTGTTATTGAACATGTCGAGTGCAATATTATAGCAGCCAGTTGTAGATATGTAGCTATGTCATATGTAAGTACTGTTACAGATATCTTTGGAGCTTTTGCTTTTCATGAAAAAGATTAAAACATTTTCTTTGTGTTTTTCTTTCTTATTTATTGCTTTGACATGAGTTGAGTGTAGGCAGGGGTTACTTATAACAACTTTCATGCTATTGTAACTTGAGAATTAATCATAGCATAGCTGTGTTGACGGTTGTTTGATGCTACCAAAACTTTGCGGGAGTGTAAGTGTGTTTGCTAAGCTCATATAGAGATAGTGATATTTTAGCTTCATTGAGACTTCATGTTGTTTTATCTAGCATGTGTGTGGGTGTGTGTGAAAGAATGTGAGTATGAAATGGTTATTACTTGTAAAGCACTTTTTTAAAAACCTCTGTGTTTTATGTTATCAGATTTAATATTCAATTTTAAATGAGAACAGTTTATTTTGAATTTCAAGCACACATGATGCCTGCAGTTACAAAGATATGATCTGTGAGAGACATGTTGCATTTTGGTGCAATCAGAAGATCAGTAATTGAAGCTGTCATTGAGAACTTTGGTAATACATTGTACTGTTCAGTTTTCTCAGCTTGACTCTAAAATGCAACCTGAAAAGAATACAGGAACATGAAGATTTGCCAAAAAAAACATAACAATGAAATAGCTACTCAGTTTAGTCTACGCTTTTTAAATGTGAGGGCCAAGGTCCGGTTTTGGTTGTGGCACATAGTTTTGTGTGCTGAAAAGATACGTTGTGCTGTTTTTCAAATTAATTTTTTGCAGTCTGTTAAGGAAACCGGCCCCCGTTACATTTTTTTTCATAGTGACAGTGGCCAGCAAGTTTCTAAAGATTGAGAAACCCAGGTCTAGTCCCCATAAATATTTTTTGTTTGAGCTTGAAAGTTTTGTTAAATTTTCAACTTTCAAAGATGTATTGAGTAACATCAGAGAATGCTCTTTGATAATAAATTTACTTAAAGATCAGCGGAGATAGTGGAAAAGTAATGCTGATCCTAAAGGAGAAGCCAAAGATATGGACGATCTCAATTACTTTTCTGTAATGTTGATTTATGGATACATTTTCCTGTAGGACTTAAAGTTTTCCTTGGAGTGAGCACAGTACATGTATCCTGAAGTAATATCCGAATTTGCTGATACTTTAGTAATTTTTTTTGGAGATGGAATAGTGTGGAAATGATGGACAACAGAATGTCTATTGAGTTTTTGTGCTATAAAAATCGTATTTATTTAACTTTGTATCGTTTTTATCTAGTCCTGATTTTTATCAGATTTATTTTGTTCATTTGATACATCAGTATTATCTAACATGATTATTTATGGCCAGCAGAGCTGTGATCATTTATAACTAGATGTGACAGAAGAATGTCGGAGAAGCTAACACATCACTGATTTGCTCACTAGCTGTTGAATGTCGTAAAAAAGGGCTTTAAGGGAACAGATTTTTATAGGACGTGTTTTTAATGTTTATCTCTAAGCGTATTTCGTATAAGAATGTGCTTCTTTGCTTATGTCTACGGTCTTCTCCGAAAAAACTAATGGAATCGCTAGGAGCAATACACAGACTTAACAGTCTGTTGGACGGTCCGTGTAGGTTTTGCTTAAATTCAAACACTGAAAAGCAAAATTCAGAAACCGCAATACGGATGAATTAAAGTTCATATGACATCAAATCTTTACGAAGGGAAATGCTGGTTAAAGGAAAAAGATTCAGGTCTTTTAAAGAGTCGAAGATAAGAATGCATTCCAGCACTTCAAAAAGTTTTCTTTATAAGTGATATGGTAAATTGCTAAGCCAGTCATGTTGGCCAAGGAAAGATGATTTTTACTTACACTTCCAGTGTGCTATTCACAAGTGTTTTGACTACTTTAGCAGTGGCTTTTTATTTTTCCTTTATTTGCATATTCATAACAGTTGATCTGATATCCAAAGAAAGCTTGAAGGAACTTTTCTGAATCAAATGATAAGCGTGTGTAAATAAAGTGTACATAGCATGTCATTTCTTTTGGTTTATTTTTACTCGAGTTATACTCAATTCACTTCACGCTGATGAAAACTGCTCCAATGTGATACACATATTCGAACAAGCTGTATATCAGGCTAAGCTTTCATCTCGTGGGGAGGACATGACATATAGCATCATTGTCCCTCTCAAGTTTCATCACCACCACCACTGCCAATATCCAAAACAAGATCACCCCCTTTAATATGCATGGTAAGCTACTGTAAGGAAAAAAAACCAACCTTGTATGTGACCTATAACCCCGCAGAATCTTTCCCTTAGTGTACACTAGATTCAGAAATGGGATTTGGAAAGTACACCCGCTTATCTCAATACACTCATCTAAAACTTTTGTTTTGTTCTAATGTTGAGACTTATTATATAATTCTTGAACAATGAATATAATAACATTCCAGAAAGATGTCTTTGAAATATTTGTCAAGCATTCTTGTCTTCAATCATTGTTGAGAGTACTTATGACCTATGCATGGATGTGAAGCCACACTTAGCAGTCTTTCACACTGAAGTGGCTAGCAACAAATTTTTATCTTTCACATTTTCTGTTTTGTTAAAGTAAATTGTAACCTACCATACCTCATGACTTCTATCTTAGTAAAATGCTTCGCAAGAGTTTATAATTCGCTTTCAAGAGGAAAGATATGCCTTCTTCATTTGCGTTTTGCCACTTTAGTGTGAAAGCGGACTTAGACCTTTCTCCCGTGCTTGTCAGTCTTCGGTCACAGCACAGCCACCAATCCAAGGCTTTCGTCAAGTATCACTCTCTAGACGTCCTGGCACTAGATAGCTCACAGCTTCCCCCACAGTGCTCTAGTTACTGCTTCTCTTTTCCCTTCGCTCTTCCAGTAAACCTAAATTTAAGTATTGCATCCACTTCAGCTCTGAACTCAAAAGTCGTTTAATATTAATTGATCCGTGATCTATCCGGTCAGGAAACAAAAATGTCCAGAAAAAGATATTGATAGGAAAAGAAAGTGAAAATGTTATGCTAGATAAAAAAGAAAGAACAAAAATGTGTCTTTGGGTTAGAGGTGTACTTGTAGTAATGAAACTAAACCTTGAAACTGAAACAAGTTGTTTTTTAATTGAAAGTTGATCAGCATGAAGATCTACAGGCTAACAATAGAGATTGCATGATGCCTCTGTAGTTCTGTCTTTATTTTTTGTGGAGCAAAAACAAAAAACAAAAGCAAAAATAAAATTAAAAAACAAAAACAAGCCAAAAATCCCAATAGGAGTAAAGTGTAAGTGTACACATAAATGGTGGTCAGTCCTTGCTCCCCCCCTCCTCCCCCCCCCCAAACCACCCCCTCCACAACCTCCCCCTTCCCCTCCACTACCTACTACGCTGATTCCCCTGACTCGGGAAGACAGTAAGAACTGAGGCAGCCACGAGATGAAAGCTTGGTCCCCTCTCTCTCCGCGCCACGGTCAGTGTTGTAGGCTCATAGCTAGCTGGCACAGAGTTCGCACAGGGTATTATCACAGCAGTGCTTGACGGCTGGTTTGTTTTTTCCAATAACATATGGTTTGATACGTATACGCATATATTTTGTATTGTACTTATATCTTTTTTATATACTGTATTGAGTAATGGACTGCCCTCAAACATATAATCTTGTCTGCTTGTAGCGTTGTCTCAGGAAGTATCATGTCTGTGAAAGATATGGTGAAAAAGACTACACAGATAGCCGGCAGAACAAATTGGATTGGTGTTCTGTGGGAGATAAGGGGAAAGACAGGACACATAACCGGTAGAGAAAACTGGGTGGATGAATTAATCGATGCTGGGTTGATGATCTAGTCAATGGCATTAAAAATGTCTGAGAAATTCTTACCCAGGGACGGACTCTTCTTAATTGTGATAGGATAACTGGAAGAGTACTAATTTTGTCACGACACTTTCTAAGGTTTCTGAAGGTTCCGGGAAAAAAGTGATTTAACAATAATAATAGTAATAATGATTGCATTTATAAAGCGCATTGATGGGATTGAGAAAAAGAAGATGTAGGGCATATCCACGCTCTACAGCATGTTGTATGTGCTTTACAACTGTTGTTAATAGGCCTGTATATTTGGCAGTTGAAATTTTTTTTAAGATCTCGGGGTGGACGTACGACATGATGATTTCAATAAAAACTTTGCACCCATCGGGTCAAAAGGAAAATTAGATAGAAGTTCTATCAATGTGAAAGTAAAAAAAAGGAATCTAAAGACTAAAGACAATCATTCAAGGATTAAACTGAAACAACAGTTCTTGGACATTTTTCATTCAGGACTAAAACGTTTCTTTGTGGAAAGAGCTGAAACAAGATTAAGATGAAGAGTTGGCCTCTTAATTAACAAAAGGCGTGAATTTTTATGAAACCCAGGCACTAGACATATGTGACCATTTTTGTGTGTGGTTTGCTCTAAGTTCTCCGAGGTACCTGTTGCTAGGTCTACAATGTGGTTGTGAACGTTCTGCCTTCAGGGGAACTAACTCTGCTATGTCCATTTGGCCACCAACCGTCTCTGCCTTGGTTGACATTTTGTTTGTCACTTTCACTGTGCCCGTTTCTCTCAGGCTTTCAAATCTTATTTCATAGTCATAATTTTCAGTAAAGTACGTTTCAGCTAGTGCACTTTCTCTGTCTTTATTTGTCTGTGGAACTCTTTTATCCCCCCCCCCAAAAAAAACAACCCAACAACAACAACCCAACCCAATCAACCAAACAACAAACAAAAAAATCTTTCATTCTGTCACTCACACTCGTGCTGTCTATAAGTCGTTCTTTAATCTCTCTGTGTTTCTCAAAATCTGTTTCTCTCTTTTGTTCCTTCTTTTTTTTTTCTCTCTCCCGCTCTGCCTAAAATTTTTCTCTCTCGCTATCTCTCTTTATCACTCTCTTTCTTTCTGTATTTCTCTTTCATACAAACACACACACACGAACACACCCATACAAACTCTTTTATACACTCAAAAAACTCACATGTACTCGCATGTACTCACATACAAAACCATTTTCCCACACACATACAATAGGTTCCAGTGACAGCTGAGACGTTTTGCTCTTTCGACACAAAAATTTTCCTCTACATCCCCCTCATCCCATCTTCTCTTCCTTTCATCAAAACAACGTCTGTTCACAGCTTGTGTTCATAGCAGATTATTTTGCCAGCTTTTTTTCCCAAGTCCTGTCTGTCATTTTCTAAACCTTGTTGAGGTTATTTGCCGTTCTGCGAGTGAAAATTATGTTAAGTGCTTCAGACATGGAGAAGTTTAAAATCCTGTTTTTTTCCTGGCTTAAGTAAAATTAAATGAATTTCTGTCCGCTCATCAAGATTTAAAAGAAAGTGCAAGATGTGGAGTAAACTTAACAGAAGTGGAGGGCAGGATATGTCGAAACATTTCTAGAGATTTCTACAGACCAGCTCCCCTAGATATTTGAAACATAATTTGTATTGCGTAAAACTGCCTGTTTGTCTTTTTTCATTTATTTTTTTTTTTGCAGGCCCAAAATCTCAGTTCATTTCATTGTGTGCTTTGCTCAAAGATGACATTATACATTTTTTCTTTAGATCCTTTATACACATTCAAAGATGATGTGCTTATATGTTTTCGTTTCTGCGTCTTTTTTTTTTTTTTTTTTTGTCGCTTTCTTTTATTTTTTTGCTCTTCATTTTTAAATTCATAAAACTCATACGCACGCGTGGTCAGATGTTTGTGCCTTTAGTCTGTTTTGGACTCATTGCTATCCAGTTGTGCAGACAAGGTTATATAATCTATAAATATATGAATCTACAACGAAGGCATCTGCAGTGAAGTTTTCCCGGCATATTCTTTACACAATATCATAATGTGCATGAAACAAAACAGTGGTGTGGCAGATATTTGTTTTTATTTCTTTGTTTGTGTTGATTTTCAATTTCTGGTATTAATGCATTGAAATGGTTGAAATTTTTAATAAATAAAAAGCTTTAAAACAAGTCTTCAGAGATGACTCCTCTTTTATTGGTTTGGTATCACAAGTTTTCTCTACTAACAAACTAGAGTGTCAATAGTTCAGCTGATAAATCACATTTCTATGTTGCCTCAAGGAAAGAAGGATGATTAGTCACAGTGTCCAAAGTTATTGACAGAATCTTTAACGTGTCATTCACGTTTTATCAAAACGAATGGTGAATTCGTAGGTCCTGCTTTTATAATAACTTAATTTACACTGCAATGGAACAGAGAGCCTCAGATACAAACTCAAACCACTGGAAGTTAGTTGTTGCTGCTACAACTTTCTGACTTCTGGTCATGGACACATCCTCAAACTTTCCCCAGGGTTCACCAATTTCATCTCTTATTCATCATTTCTGTCTCTTTCTACGTCATCTATACATCATCATCTTCAGACTCTTAAGCTGCTTTTGCTGCTATAGCTTGTGGTATAAATGCTGCATTACTACCAAATCACTTGATGTTTTGAAGATGCCGCTTTCACCAATGCTAGAAAAAGCTCAAGTGAATGGACCAGTCAAGTTACATTCGAAGAGTATTGTCTTTAGACTTTAATCTGGTTATCGTCTCTTCCATGTCTCTGATATTATAATCACGAAATAAAATGTTTTCACCTTACAATATATGAATAATCTGTGTGATTATCTCAGTATATTTATTTCCCCATTCTATTCAGCTGTCTTCACCATCTGATACTGATACTAGTTTTGATTTTTGCTAATTATATTCTATTGTTTCCCTAATTTGTCTTCAATGGTCTTTCTTCTTCCTGTTCTGCGGCGTTCTCTCCATCGTTCATCTCAGGCTTTGGTTAAGGTACAGTTGCTTGTCCTAATGTTCCACCGCATGTTTCGGTTCTCTCACTACAACACAAACGTAAGACAGCATTCAGAAAGCTTTACAAACGATCAGTCAGTAAGCCCAGTGCGAGGACTGGGCGTGAACGGCTTGCCCCTCCCCTCCACCATCTGTGAGGTGTTCTCACCAAACGTCGATAGGCGGAGCTCACACACTGACAGCCAATCAAAACAACAGAACAGTCACACCGTTACTACAGCACCTCTCCCTACCCCGCCTCCTTATGTGGTAGTTGTTTCCCACGCATTTTTCGTCAAACTGTTCCCTAGTTTATATGTTGTTTGAATGTGTGTTATCGATGTCACAGGTTTGCTGTTATATGTGTACATTGCTCAAAAAAAACTTCTCTTCATGAATTTGCTATGAGCAAGGTTGTGAAAGTTTCGCAAAAGCATCGAGCAACTCACCAACTGATAGCAAGTCAGTTCCATTTATATCTCCGAATAGATAACATTTGTTTGGTTGGGGGGTTTTTTGGGGGGGAGCCGATTTCATGGAATAATACTCAAGGCAAACAGAGTTGCAATATTTGTTATTCCTCTTGATCAGGCATATGCTATCTCTATACTCGTCTTGAAATTCATTGCTTTACAAACATGCTCGAGGTATTTTTTACGAATAACGGCTTGAGTGTTTTAGAACTACTCAAGACGAGGATATTTTTATGATGGTTTCTAATTCTTGAAATTATCTCTAAATAATTTGTCTCTGAATGTATATAGTGGATCAGTATGTATAAAAAATTTTAGATTTAGAATTAAAACTATTTTTGTACATTTTTTACTTTTTTTTTTTTTGTATCTTGGAAAGAGGATAATTTAATTAAACCAAAATCCTTCACTTTATTTTTATGGCTAGCTGTTGTTATAAATTATGCATGAAGTGTGGTCTTTTATGAGTGCTATCTACATGCCTTCAAGTTACAAGACACACACACGCACGTGCACACACACACACACACACACACACACACACACACACACACGCACACACACACACACACACACACACACACACACACACACACACACACACACACACACACACAATTTGAGCTATTAAATGGATACTTTAGCCAAAATTTTCTTACCAAGTTCTTGAAACTCAGTATGGATGCTTTCAGGCACTTTGTCATTTATTATTTTGTGGTTCTTCTTTTCAGGATCTTGCCATACTTATTTGTATATATATATATATATATATATTTATAAATTTATTTCTCATGCCAATGTCATGCTGATGATCTTTACACTAGTGTTGTGTTGTATGCCAGATCTGTGTTAATCGCTTACAGGCTTGGACTTTGAATTGGAGTCTCACTGACCTTGTGAACTCTTGTACCACCATAATCTGATTGTCAGAACTGCTTCAATCTTTCAGCTGCTTTAAACATTTATTGACCAGTATTCTCAGAGATTTATGAATGCTTTAGCCATCTCAATGCTGATTTATTGAATGTTAATTTTAGATCAATGATTGAGCTTTATATTGCAATTGAACTCTGCCAAAGCAAACTTTATGGGATTTGTGTTTGAAAAAAAATTTGAACAGTGATTTTACTTTGTAAACCTTTTTTGAGACAATACATTGTAGTTCTGGAAAAACTCCCTCAAAATTATAGTAATGTAAATGAGAAAATGTAGTTTTAGATTTTTCATTTCCGCACACAATGAAATCCTCCTGAATATTGTTTTTGGCAGAGTTTTTGTGTTTTTTTTCTTTTTGCCATTCTTTAAAGAAATGTTCTGTTCAATCCTTGCAACCAAAGACAGATTTATTATTGCTGAGGTCTTTGATGAATGAATGCTCACACCAATTTTCATGTAGTCATTATAAATCTCTCTGTTTTCTTGAACCACATGATGCTGTCGTGTTGAACACAAGACGTTGTTACAGATGACAATTGTGTAAAATGTTCTCCAAGAATTCTCTCTTTTTAGGACGATAGCAAAAACAGCCATGAGCTATAGGACTATGCCCCTGATCCACGGGGTGGGTATGCTAGGGGGCTGCCTCCCTTACTCATTGTTCTCCCCCCCTCCCCCTCCTTCCACCTCGCACCGCTTTTGGTGTTTATTGACTCTCTCCACTCGGATATGACCTCCCACCCTTGTTAAAATGGCCGCCTCTCCGTAGCTGTTGTAACGCTTTATATTTTTCTGAAACTGTGTGTATATATATAAAAAAACAACAACCAAGATCTCTCAGCGCTTATTACCTACCCTTATCACTAATAATCTTCCCCCCCCTTTTGTTTAGTCCAATGACTCACATTGCATGAGACTCTCCTCCTCATTACCATTGCCCAGACTCTTCATCTTCTCTCCTCTGGGTTTGTTTGTTGTTTTTTTTTGGTTTTTTTTTTTTTTTTAGGAATTTGGTTTTGTTCCCTTGCGGTTTCTTTTTGCGCTGCATTATTTTAGCAAAGAGAAGAAAATTCTGTTTGCAATTTTCAAATGATTCCACTGTGCGCTTTGGTCGCCATGGTAGATGTTGCGTTATCGTGAAGAAAAATGCTGAGACAAAGCTCCTGCTAATGGGAGTGGAAAATACTGTAGACTGTAAACATTTTGTATAAAGCTGATAAACACAAATATTCTCAGTATGTGGAAACAGAACTGCTATGGTGTGTGTACTCTCATCGATACACTGCTCCTCGATAATGTGCTCTGCTGGAGCATTATTTCGAGTTTCATTTATGTTTTTAAACGGAGATGGATTTCAAGTTGACGCAGGAACAATAAGCAAGACTTTGAATTAGTCTTTTTTTTTTTCATTCTTGAATGCACCCAGAACATTCTTCATTAATTCAGACTTTTGTGTGACGTGTGTGTGCCGCACCGCGCGTGTAACTTGCGAACTGATAATGGAGAAGAAAATACAAAGGTCTCCATTGTAGGGCAGAAAAGGGTACTAAAAATAGTTTAACCTTTCAGGATATTAGGAAATATCATGAACAGTCTAAGGCAGTGGAATTTTCAATGGACAGAGCCTTGATCATGTTCCGGAATTAAATTTATTTGCGTTTTGGAATTTAAAGAATTTGACTCATCGGTGCACTCATTGCAAATACTTGTAAAGAAATATTTAAAATGAGGATGCGGTTAGGTGCATTTAATTGATGCGAATTCCTGTAAAGGAAAATTAGAATGAGAATTCGATTCGCGTTTGATTTTAGTGCAGGTATGAATTCTGTACAGACTGGATGAATAAATGGGTTAGAACGAAGAGCTGTATGTGTCCGTGCCGTACTCTGTCTAGTCTGTCCGTGCCGTATGATGTTTCTTGGTGTAGCCGCAGCGTTCTGGTCTCCCCCTATACGTCATCATGTGCGTGCCTGTAGCACGGTCGAATCCTTCCGACCTAGAGACACAGTTCTTGTATTGTGAGTGGCGCTCTGTATGTCCTCCTCGCTATGTGGTTTTTCTTTTCCCCTGGTCACTTACTTCGACACTGTCAATATGTCATAGCACCAACCAACAGTCTCCTCCCCCTACCCTTTTCCTTCCCACTGTATGTCTCTCCTTCATCTGTGACCGTTTTTAGTTATGTTTTTTTTTTTTTATTCCAGTTATCGTTGTCTAGGACAATCTGTACGTTCATTAACAGGAGTCATTTCTTTTTTTTTTTTTTCTTACCCCTTCTGTACTCTGTCTCGCCTTCCGAAAATGTAGTGAAGAAAATGTCACAGAATGGACATTTGCTTTTTTCAGAATCTTTTTAAAGAGAAGGTTAATCCAAACCTAATCTAAAAGTGAGGGTGGAAGACATTGAGAAAGAGAATGCAAATTAGAGAGGACATACTAATTAGATTCAGGTTTCAAACTTGCTGAATTTGTTTTGTTTGCTGGGATCAAAGAAAAAGAAAGAAATGTTTTGTCAAAACGTATTAAGTAGTAGATACAAAAACGAAACAAATTACAAGGAAAAGAAAGAGGGGAGAGAGAAGAGGGGGAGACAAGTCCTGTCCTGCCCAGCCTAGCTGCCCCACGGCAAGAAGCACACTGAAGTAGCCACCCCCACTTATGACTGCTTGATGCCTCCCAAGTTTCACAGCTCCCACATCAATATTAACGCCGCATGATCTGTCTTTGGTTGATGGGACCTTTGTTTTTTTTTTTGTTTTTTTTTTTAACTTTTCCTTGTTTCATAAATCTTCAGCTATCCCTTTTTTTTTTTTTTTTTTTGCTGGCAAAAATGATTTTTTTTTTACACCAAGCCAGCTATTAGATACAAGCATATATATCATAGATGTCATGTACATATTAACTTGTCTTTTTTTTTTATTATTCGTATTGATTTATTACTTTTTATTATATTTTTGAATAAGAATTTTTTTTCTCTTGTTTCTCAATTGTTAAACGTTCTACAATGGGTCTGTTGTATAATTAAAAACTCATTTATCTTTTCCTTTTAAATTCAATTCGAGTTTGCTTCAAGTAACATTTTTTTGTTAAATGTACTTTTAAAGAGACTTTCAAGAAAATTAAAAGTATCAAATTTTTCTCATGATTTTCAAAGAATTTTTTTCAGAGAACAATAAGTAAGATAATTTGAGAGTCTTGAGGTGGCAAATACATGTTAATAAATTCTTTGGTATCATTGTGTGGGCACTTACACGTGTTTTTTTTTTCACCTAGGTTTATTCATTTTCCTTCTTTTTTTTTAAATTTATTGTTTTTTGTTTGTTGTTTTATCCTTATTTTGAACCTGGTTGTTTTCTATTCTTATGAGGATTACCCCAAGCAAATCCTTCTATTACTACTACTGCGTGTGTGTAAACATTCGTTTGTTTTTCTCCTCTTACTTTGAGTATGCCTAATATTTTCCCCCTTTTTTCCTTTTTTTCTCATCCTCAGCATGGAATTGCATAAGACTCTGACCCTTGACCCTGCCTCCTTGCCCCCCGTGTCGTCTGTGGCTGCCCCGCTACCCCCCTTACCCCCCCACCCGGTGGCTATGACCGTTATGAAACCACTCCCTCCCCCTCCCATGCTGGGCTTGAATGGCCTGGGCCAGCTGATGGACCCCGCGGCCATGGCGGCCCAGGTCCCTAACTCTATGGCCATCGCGTGCTCCTTGCCGGGCGCCGCCCCAATGGCTGAGCGCAAGCCACTCACCACCAAAATGAGGCTGGGTCTCACGGCTACAACGGCGTTCAAGGCAGCGGAAAGGCCAAAATTTACTCCGTACTGACTATATCCTTACGTTTAAGTCGTTCAGTGTTGTAGAAGTGTCTAGAGTGTTGGTGACTTTTTCCTGTGTTGTTTCTCGTGTGCGAGGTGGTTGCCTTTCCCCAGTTCTCATATTTATATCTACCTTATTTTTATAAGTCTGCAATGGGTTTTTTTCTGTTTGGTCTGGGAGCTTGGATTCAACCTTTCTGCTTGTTTAATTTTTATATGCTTGACTTTTGCGGAGAAAAGGGCATCCTTGGAAGTTTCCACTTGTAGATTTCACTACAAGTTTGGGCAAAGTTCTAATCAAAGCATGCCTTATTTAAGCAGGATTGTGGAAGAGTTTTTTAAATAGAAATATGATGACATTTTGAAATGTACTTACTATTTTTAGTGCTGATTTGGCCTTTTGTGTGGTCCTATTATTTCTGTAAATAGCATGTGTCCTCATTAGGAATTGCTTACCATCTTGTATCACTGTGGCTCAATATAAATGTGTGAACTGGGAAAGGATGTATATTAATTTCTACAATATTGGCTCAGAGCTGCCTGTGAAATCTATAGCATGATGCGGGAGAATTCCTTCTTCGGCATACTCAGTTGAACAGGAGAAAGCAGCAGTACTGGAGAGATGTTTACTCAAGTTAGACAACCATCTCGATAGTTCTGTGAAAATGAAAGCAGCTGTCTATTTATTTTTTTTAAGTCAAGACAATCAGTTAGGAAATATAGTGCTTGAACTGTAGCTTCGTTGATTGTGAATTGTCAAAGTCTTGACCTTCCAGCAAGATCAGATTAAGATAATTCAACCACTAAAAAGTAAAAGTTAGGATAAAATTGAATTACCCTCAGAAAGAACTTTATAGTAAGGATGAAATTGAATTTCCCTCAGAAAGAATTTTTTAGTAAAGATGAAACTGAATTTGTCTGTGAAAGAATGAAGGTCATTGCGGATTTGGTAACTGAGGTGAAAGTCTAACAGAAGTGTACAGTAATATTCAGTGATCGCCTAGAGGAGGGCCGCACAAAGACTATAGATTTCACGGTCAGCTCTGAGTCTACGTTAGTATCCGCGGACAGTTGAGGTGAGGCACTACTTGAGCGACTCCAGCAATAATCCTCCCCCGAATGCTCGTTGAAGGTTTTTAGATTTTACAACATCCACACCTCTTGGTTTTTTTTCATTTAAACCTTTCAAATGGTAATTTGTCTTGTTTCAGTACTTAAAGAAGAAATACAGGGTTTTTACTTTATCCCGTTCTATACTGCCAGTGAATGTTTCTACATCTGTCTTAGAAGTATGGGAAAAGACATCTATTTTTGTCTATTTCTTTATAAAATTCTAAGTTATTTGTCAGGTTCCTTAGTCGAAAGAAGTAGCCTGTTTTTCCCCCATCAGTGACCTTGATGTCGTAATTTCTGACCTTGTGAATGCCAGTAGCCGCTCCCAGCCCACCGGGCATTGTTCCTCGTTCCATGTACATAGCCTCCAGGTAGACAACTGTTGTCTCTGTACTGTTATCGAACCAATTGCTCTGTTGAATGTTCCAGGAAACCCAAACCTTTTACGCCGACTAATGTGTGTGTGTGCGTGTGTGTGGATATGTACGTGTTTCCATCCTTGTTTCATGTATGTCCAAGAAATACTCATGGCTACATTGGAATTTTTCTCTTGAAGAAATATGATTTTCATTGTGAAGTAAATTTTTTTTAATGTGTGTTCTGTACTTTTTTTTTATTTTGTCAAACTCTAAGATAAAGCATTACATCTTCTGTGTCATTTTGCTTCCGTTAAAAATATTTGCAGGTATATATATATGTCCATGTTTGAATTAGTATTACTAATATAACCCAGGTTTCTTTCTTTGAATTGTTGCAATTGGATACGAGTTGCACTGTAATGTTTTTTGTCAAATGTTTTATTTATGATGGCCAAAAAGACATTGTGATGGAAGTTGTCCCTCAGAAGGTTTGTGATGGCTGTTCAGCCCTTGCCTTAGCTCTCAACAGTTTCTATTGTCACTTTTTGTGGTTTTACACCCAGGTTAGTCTCTGTATTATATTCTACCCGTCCTTTTGGCAGTTGTGCCGTAGACATGATGTTTACTTCAAGTGCAGATTTCTGCAAATTATAGACCAAAAAACAACTAAATAGCAAGTGTGGGTGGCTTTGCTCTTGACACGACTTGTGTAAATTAATGAAGTGATTCACTCAATGGTTGACTCATTTGACCCTATGTACTTACTTCTGCTGACAACACAGGTTATGGGGAAAGACAGATCTGGTTGATAGTGTAAGGTTTCTTGATTTGTTGTTTCTTAATGAGGAATTCGACAAACATGGAAGACTTAATTTATTTTTATTTAAAAGTTTTTCTTCTTTAGCGTTTTATAGCAACTGAAGGGATTTATGAAGAAATACATCTCAGAAATACATGTAGGGCAACTTCAGGGTCAATTCGTCTGTGAAACATATTTACAGAAACTTAAGGGTTAAGTTATTCCAAAAATACGTATAGGGCAGCTTGAGGGTTAGAACTTATTTATCTCTCAGAAAAGTATATGTATAGAGCAAGTGACAGCTATATAAGGTAAGATAGATTCACTTTTTTCTCTAAATGGGAGGGAGAAAAAAACCTTACCACTTTCTCTAAGCTGGAAGGAAAGCAGAAAATCCTTCGATACCACCCTCCTCTCTAATGTTCTCTATCGCTCGTAGTTCTCTTCAAAGTCACAATGTGCTCAGAGGTCAATGGTTTAGTGTTTTTTTTACTCAGGGACGCAGTGTAGGACGGACACGCAACACAGACAAACTAGTGCGATGATGTGTGTTCCGACCAGAGAAAATAGTGATGTTTTGTTGTCCTGCACATTACTCTTCCCTCTTCCATCAATGAAATATCTGTTGTCGCAAGAGCCAGTTCATGTCTGAGCTTTTGTTGTATTTTTTTTCCAGTATTTTGTTTTTGTTCCATATCAGTTCGTGGGTGGACCCACATTTGCTCAAAACTACGCTTTAATTCAGGAGCATACAGTTCTGCATCGGACTGTTAAAATATTAATGGTCTGTGTGAAGACAGGAAGTTTGTGAGAAGTCGTATCCTCTTTATACAGCGGCGGCTTTACCTTTAATCTGTTACGCATAGCCCAAAATGTGTTTGTGAAATCTGTGGCTGGAATGCAATAGTCTGATAATCCACATTTGATGAAAACTGGAAGAAAATTATTGTTAAGGTTTCAAAGTTGCATAAAATATGATACGAATAAACTGCATGTCCATGTTTTCAATAGTTATGATTTAGATTAAATGAAAATTTCCCTTGGAATTATTCTTATAATGGTCTGGTAACCTCTTGAAAGCTCTTCCAACAGGTTTGAAACAAGTTCATTCTAGTCAAAACAATTTGCACCTTAACTTTTATTCTTGTCCCATTTCCTGTCACACAGCCATTTTTGAAATGACTAGTTCTCAGCTATTTTGCTTGACTGTTGGAGCATTGAAACCATTTATCTTATCTAGTGACATCAGTGACAGAGTTGCAAATGTGGGTTACCAGATCATGAACAAAGCCACAGACAAACAAACAGATGGATAGACGAATACATTCGTATCTGCGTAGAATATTATGTCCCAGGCCCGTATATGATGACATGCGCATAAATTTGTGAGAAATTGTAAAACTGTTGAGAGTTAATACTGGGACATTCAGGCCAAAGGTCTCAGTCAGCTTGTGGTCATGTTGCAAGTCCACCATCCAGGTTGTGACCTCTGATCCCCGGGGCAAAGTTCTTCAAACTACAGCCTCTCCCAGTTGTTACAGGGTCACGAACTGATGGGGTCACCAAGCATAGCGCATGGGATGCCTGCTATGCCTCGGTAGATCTAAGTGAATGCTGAATGAATAAGTTAAAGGATCTGCTGGTCAATCAGTTTATTCAGTGGATCACTCAACAAATAAACTACTTTTGATTTGAGTGCACACTTTACAGTATAGATGGTGGTATAAGAGAAAATTGCACATAGTTCCAAAGTGTTTGTTTTTTTTAAAGATTGGGGGTGGCTGCTATCTTAGAACTAATGAGTAAAGTTGAAGGTTTTAGATATTTTGGGGTACTTTCATTTCAAGAATCAGGTCAAAAGATTAAAACAATTTTTATAAAATGTTATACTCGAAGAGAAATACCATATGATGTAATATAAAGCCTGTTACTAATTGGATAGTTTGTGGTCAAATTACTGCCACAATTTGGAGGCTCAATGACGTCAACGGCTTCTTGAGAAAAAAGCTGAATAACATGAAACTGGGTTATTGTCGAACAAGTTTGAAGAACCCTGCCCTAGAAGGAGGTTTAGGTTTGGGAAATGCTCGGCAATGGAGACAGATGTTTGCACAAAGGCAGGGCTGCGTGGGGAGCCCCAGCGTTTTCCTGTTCACTTACTACTCTATGATATTTGTAGATGTTTATCTAGTCTTATTTCCAGATGTCCAGTTCATTTGCAGCACAATCTTCCTAGACACTTGGTTGTGATACCTCATTGGGGTCTGAGTGGACTGGAATTTTTCTTGTTTTCAACTTCTACAAATTGCTTTGCTTGTTCTTCCAGTTAAAAAAAATAAATGTTGTTGGTGTCATAAATGTAAATGAAAAACACTGATAGGATAACTTTGTTGGCAATATATTTCTGCACATTTTAGATTGTAAGTGAAAGGGACATCTTCTCAGTTATAAGATAGTCCCACTTTTTGGCCATAAGTAGGGCGAGTCGAAAGAATCATCTACTTCCAAGATGGAAAGACTTTTTTTTTCATAATGTTTACAGTGCATGGATATGTAATCTGCATCTTCAGATGAAATCAGAAAGTGAGTCACTGTACTGTAAGATGGTCTATCCGTACATGTGACATTTTTTTTTTCAATGAAAAAATAGGAAAGTCACATAAGTCACAGAAGAAAGCTTTTCGTCCCTTGACGTTTTTACATCCACACAGAAATAGTACAGTCTCCAACGTAAAAGAAGAAATATGTATATTTATAGAAGATTCATGTACATTTTTACATTTGATGACGTCGTCGGCGACTGCTATGAGGCATCACAACTGTGTGTCGTTTCACTGGTTTCTACGCGAGTGAGACCTCTCTCTTTGAGAAGGGTTTTTTTTTGTCTTTTGATGATAATACAGAGTTTGAGTGGTTTTTATCTTGCCTTTGAGCAGACAGAAACCAGTTCAAAGGGTTTTTAAATTTTATATATATAGAGAAAGAGGATTTTCCTTTTATGTCATGGTCGTATCAGTCTGGCTTGTTTTGCCCGGCGCTCACATTACATGTATTATGATATAATATATACATTTATGTATACTTAGTCAAGGCAGTCCGGACACTATTTTTGGGGGTGCAATATGTCATGTGTTCAACCTTTTGTATATATATAGGATTTTGTATGAATGTATGCTCATGTGTGTATTTGTGTGTGTGTATTTGTATGTGTGCACATGTGAGTAAGAGACGGCAGAAAATTAAGCATCGTTCAGGAGAGTTGGTTACCCCCCCCCCCCCCCCTTTCCCTCTTTTACCATTCACATACTCAAAGTCAGGGGGATCTCTGTGCCATCCATCAGTATGGTAGATAGAACCTTTTGACTCTGAGCTTTGTTGTCATTTTAACCACTGCTGCCAACGTTCACCTACCAACCAGTCCTAGTGTGTGATTTTCATCGCAACTGTTTTTTCACCCAGTTCAACCACAGAAGCCACAAACCCTTTGAGTTTTTTTAAGGCGACCTTTGAATTTTGTCAACACAGAAATGCACAACATCTTTAGTTGTGGGATCAGTATTTTCATTCTTTCTTTGTGTTCAAGGAATCAACTTACCGTTTGTCAAATTTTGCTTGTTGGGTTCCTCAGTGGTGATCCATATGTAACCATATATGCCAAATGTCATTATCAACCCTACATGTATGTTTGTATTATTATGTCCTTCAGTCTGGAAATGGAAACTAGGCCTCAGTGCAGATTAAATCAGTGCACTTCAGATTTTCTAGGTGTGAATGTATTATGGGCTCAAACTAAAAACTCGTCTGTAGACTTTTAAAAACTTGTCCATGAACTCAAAGCTAACATATCCTTCTCCTCATAATGAGTGGGAAGTCGTTTCAACTGCCATTTCTGTGCCAGTGTGTGTGTATGTGTTTTAACATACACGTCAACACTTTGACAGTTAGCAACATTTGAGTAGGGGAAATTTCACACAGAACATTGGATACGAAGAAACTTGACCAAGAGAACATCAAATTAGGGAAAATTATCCAAAGAACAGTGGTTTAGAACAGGCAGTGGAGTCACACACAGAATTGATCTGACTTCTTTAAACTTCTGTAAAGCCTCAGCGATTGTGCAAAGGATTGTTGTTTACATAAGCCTTCTCCTGACCCAGACAGAATTTGTTCTGCCCTCATGCCAAAAGCACAGATGACGACATAAGAAAGAGAGAGATGGAGAGAAAGATACAAAAAAATAAATTTTTATAAATATAATAATATGAACAATGATATGGTGTCTGTCCTACTTCCCATCCTCCCCCACCCACCCCCATCCACCCCCTTCCACTTATCCTCCCTTCCAAGCCCTTCCCAGTAGCATATTGCTGCATCTTTTATTCGACTGTAGCATCTTCATCGTCATCATTATTACTTGTCCTTTAAAGAAGATCATTTTGATCAAGGGTGAAACTTCTTGTTTTATGAACCGTTGACTTCATTGTTGATGGCCGTGTTTTATGCTTACATTTTAAGCACTTACATATGAAAGTCTTACCATCTTAATCTTATTGATATACATAATCTATTGCAATACATTTGTACAAATTTTGCGTCTTATATTTACCATATTCTCCCTCCCCCCCCCCCTCTCCCCTTTCAGAAACATATCTTTGGGTTTGATTTGTAGAAGTTTGGACAAAACATATATTTTTTTAATGTAATGACCATGCATATTATAAGCGACGTAAAGCTTGAAGAGGCTGTCCTAGCTGACTGTTTGGCCCATCAGGTGTCAAAGGAGTGAACGTGGCCTCCTGAGTCCACGGTGCTCCCCCTGTGTGTGTCTTTGTGTGTGTGTATTTGTCCATGTGTGTGATGTGTCTTCATCATGCTGCTTCCTCTTTCTTACTCTCTTTGTACACTGTATCAGTCTTCTAGCTCTATCAGCACCAGCAAGTGTTCTCATTGGACGCTTTGTTGAGTTTTTTTGCATCCGAAGTTTTCGATCAGTATGCTGCTGAAAGTGCATAGGTAGGTTCTGTAGGCTTCTTTTCTCACTGCCTGTGTCTTCTCTCTCACCTTTCTGACTATTTCTTCTCTACTTCACCTTTGAGCTGACCGGCTCTCATTCTGTTTACCTCTGGACAGTAATGCTCATCTTTAGAAATGGAAAGTATTAAGGAACATCATTGTCCTAAGATGCAGCTTTAGTCTCTCAAATACATTTTAAAGAAGGGAAATTTTCACTATTGAAATTCTAAAGCCATGAGATCCTTGAGTAATTCTAGGGATATTTAAGATCAGAAATAGCTGATTCCCTGTGTAACAGTTCTTGCAGTTCAACAGAATTAAATATTATATTAATATATCCATACTTTAACAAACAGACATTTGCGCTAATCCTAAAGACCTTAGTAGGTCTTTATTTGTAGGCCTGCCCCATAGTGACTTACAACTTGTTTACTGAAAATACTAGCAAGTATGTGGCTGCAGACAATTTACTTGTTTTGAAAGGATTTAGACATTCATTTAGGTGTTATGTTTTTAGATTATATTGGCTGGATGATCCCTAGTCCATAAAAACAAACATTACATGCTTGTTTTTCCAGCTCATTTTTTGAAGATTTTTCCAAGTCTTGAATGATTTTTCTCCCATATGAACTCATTTTATGTCGGTGATATTAACGCTTAGTTGGCAGAGAGTTAAGAGAGTAGTGTGAGTGTGACCAGATCCAGGCACCAAGAGTGGACCAGAGGCAGGCCTCAGCAGCCGTCTCTGTACCTAGCGAGCATTTCTTGGTTGTAGGGGACGCGTGGCGTGGGGGAGTCGTGCGTCACTTATGCCACTACTCCTTGTCTCTTCGGCCAGTTTGCTTTAACTTTGACTCTAAGCCACTGGGTTTTGTTTTGGGCATAATATTCATACACATACACACATGTTTCTTTGTTATATTAGATTCTACTTTTTGAACCTGTACACTGCTTTTTTGATGTTGGTAGTACTTGTGTAGCCATTTTGAACGTGATGCAGATTTTTTTTTTCACAAGAAGAGAACACTTTCGACTTTGGTATGTGGCTCTTCTCTACCCTAATGGCCTGCCACCATACGCCTACGTACAGAGAACCTTTTGCATGCGTTGTCTTTCTCTACGAACAGGTTGTGATTCAGTGATTTTGTCCTTCTCTGAGGGAACCCATAAATTCAGTTGTAAAGATATAATATTAAAGAAATTATTTTATTTAACTTACAGAGAGTTTACTATTCATGATCATTTTTCTTCTTGTAATAATGATGATGATAAAAGTAATGACAATATGAATAACAATAATGATGATAATAAACTTGAGATGATGTACTGGTCGTCCCATGTACTTAATGCCTGGCTCCGCCCGTGGCGTGAGAGCCCATGTGTGTGTTTCCATATCAGCGACAGTACAAGAGCCGCCACCTGTCCGAGCCAGCGCTGGACACAGATTGGACGGTCGCCAGCCATGTTCCTTTCGTTTCACTCATTTCAATTGTCTTGCACAGGCATTCATATTTTTTTTCATTTCTTCATTACACAAGGGTTTATAAAATTATGTCCTCCCTTACGGGAATAAATATTTATATTCATATATATATATATATTATACATTTATATACATGGTATACATGCATATTTGTTTTGTACATGTACCAGTGTCATCTTGAGCATCCTGCACTGTTTCATGGTGTGGTGAATACAATTACAAGCAAAGACCATTGCATTAGAGTGACTGCAAATCAATGGGAAGCCAGAAGGATTTCAGTTCTACAAAATCCCAAATTCTTTAGAGTTGAAAATGTAGAGATAAGAACTTCTAAACTAAAAGCATGCTGCGAAGCGTGAGTGGAAAGGTTCTGTATTGTATTCTTAATGAGGGTGAGACCACTGAAAGGGAATTTGGGATGCAGCTGATGTTGTTCCCTACTCAGAGCTAGTACTGTCAGCAGTACGTTTGGCATGTCACTACCTCAAAATTACAAAATACTATCTGACATTCTTGGCCGTTTTGAGTTACTAAGAAAGCAAATGTCTTATATCCTCTAACAAAATTATAAGATTATCGGAGGCGTTATCCAGAAATTCAAAGAATTACCCTCGAAAAAGCTTGACATATTGCGAAACCCAAAATTTTTTACGCCAGATTTCTCAGCTGAGCAGAAAGAACTTTGTAATTCTAAGGTAGCGATGTGGCAAATTAGGCCATCTCCCATTTATCTGTTTGGAACAAATGAGAAAAAAATCAGTTTAGTAAAGACCCCATAGGTTGTCATCAGAGCTGCAGTGGGGTAGTCTCTTCATCAAAGTACGATATACGCCACAAAAATACGTACGATGGGAAAAGAACCCTCTGTCTACCTCATTACAAACCATTTCAGAACCAGAACTCAAATCTGAGATAGAGATTAAATGCTATTACCAGTCATTACCATAATTTCAAGCATAATAATAAATATAATATTTACAAATAAATTCAGCTTCCTTTCTCTGTGGATTTTGTCCATGGTTGTTAAAATGTAAGCTTTTTTTACTCAAGTCCAGGAACAGTTTCTCTCTAGACAGTTTAATATTACTATTATGTAGAGTTGAACAATCCCTTGTTTATTTCAAATAAATCTTGAGGAAGCTCGGTTGTGAATGTTGGCTTGGAACTTGGAGGTTGTAATTGAGAATCAGACCAAGGCATCATAATCATCTCCTTCATATCAGTTCCCATAACCGTGAGGGGATGGTACAATTCTGATTGCGTGATCCTACTATTGTGATTTGTTTTGTTTGGGTTTTTTTGCACCTGTTCCTCTCTTGATTACCCCCCCCCCACCCCATCCTCCTTTTTAAAAAAATTAAACGGTAAGGTGAGTGAAGTGAAGCTCCTCGCCTATGACCTTTTCAACAAGCAATGACTATTTATATAAGCATCACCCATGTTTTGAAATATCTTTTTGTATGATTGTCACTGCATATTTGAATGCATGTCCAGTGTGGGATTGTGAGGACGATGATGTAGGGGTTCTGTTGTTTGGATGTAGTCAATGTTTGTATAATTATTTAATTAGTTTCATTTTTTATTTCTTAAAGTGAATTTATAAAACAAATGAGTCAGCAATATGGAACATTGCCTATGTCAAGATTGTTTTTGTTCTTTAATTTTTCTTGTGTACCGTATATGTTGACACTTCACATCTTTTAATGAAATACGTTCAATCACACAAAACATTATGATAACCATGAAGTACGGAGCGTGCAGTTCTGGGTTTTTTTTCCTCTTCCTCTGTTGAATTGTTCTTATTATTATACCAAATGCTCAGACTATCAAATTATGATAGCATAATTGGGAGGAGTAGATTCCGTACAGGAAAACATTCGTCATGTTTGTTGTGGCATAGCTGGCCAGGGTGCAAGGTTACACACAAAGAAGCAAACATTTTAATGAAAGAGCAGCTTTGAAAGTTTGGAAAACAAAATATATCTTATTACATTGTTCTCATAGTAACACAAAGCAGACTTTTGTTATTACTAATATTACTATACAACCTCGGAGGGTACAGGGTTTTCAGGTCACCAACTTCATGTTGGATTTTTAATTAAATTAAATTTATTCAAGCTCACTCATTTTGTGTTAGTGACAAACAGACTACAGACATAGACATAGGCTACCACAATATAGGACTGCAGGTTAAGTTGAATGGTGAAATAAATCGGCTGTGAGGGTTGTCCTTCCAGCTGAGCTAGACTATCTTCCAGGTAGATATTTGGAAGCAAGAAACACCACACCAGTTGTCAGTGTCAGTCGCTGAATCTTTTGATTTAATAGAATTAAGCACTTTATAAAGATGAGAATTACTAATAATTAATAGTTATGCATGCAAATTACTTTTTCCTCATTTTTTTAATCAAGGAAGATACTCCAATTGTAGAGGCAATGTAGCGTAAATCTTTTATCAACTCTGTCCGTTTATGTCCTACTTTTTTTTTTCAGGATCAGTTTTTTAAATTATTGAACATTTACTCAGGTACAAAAAAAAAAATTCAGATGCTGGTTTAGTCTAGCTGTCTGGTAAGCCCAGGTTTCAGGTAGGTAAGGAAGGAAATAACCAGGCAAGAGTAGACAATGGACTGACAACACACAGCATCGCCGACAACACACGTCAACAGTATCAACAACAACACGCATCAACCACACCACACAACATCGCCGAAAACACGCATCAACCACACCGGGCAACAGTTACTACACTCAGCATCGACGTGCTGGAGACAGCGCAGGCAACACAAGAGAAGATTCTTGACTTTCGGAAGCTGCAGCGATCCACCCCGGATTTCCTCAAGTCCTCAAACGATGCACCAGCACACTTCCACTAGGCTCAGCAATAGACATTTTTTTTTTTCTTTATTGTTTGAAAATATTATTTCACTTCTTTTCCAGCTTGGTACTTCCATATATATAATATTTATTCATTTCTTTTTAATGCTCAGCCGTAGCACAAACTGAACAGAAATGTTTCCCCCCTTGCCAATGGTGAAGAGCATTAATTAATTTTGTTTTTAATATGTTAATTTTGCAAGGTGAGAATATTTCTATGATGTGATTTGACAACAAACATTAAAAAAAACATGAAAATAAAGATGACAAAACGTGAATGTTTAATGCCTTGACTCTTTTACTTCCTCCTTTTTTTCACACAAGTAGACATAACCACAGACGCTGAATAGTTATACCACGCGAGTGAATTGTGTAAGAAAGAGCAAGATGTTGTCGGGGTATGCGAACAAACAAGGAGAAGTAAAAGTGGACGCCATTAGAATTTGATGAGTGTATTATTAATTATTATTAAACGTACTTTCTTCACTGGCATGAATAGTTGGAATTGTCTGCCACCTGAGCTTTGTTGGGAAGGTGAGATGGTGAAATGGTGATATGGTATAGGTTTAATGCTCCTATCAACACTAGTAGGCTTATTTAAGTTTAAGAGACACGACCTCTGAGTTTAACGTCCATCTTCTATGATGTGATTTGACAACAAACATTTTTAAAAACATGAAAATAAACATGACAAAACGTGAATGTTTATGCCTTGCCTGTTTTACTTCATCCATTGTTTCACACAAAGAGACATTACCACAAATGGGAAATTTGTCTAAAGTGTCTTTCCCAAGGACACAGCATTGGACTGAGCTGATGCTCGAACCTCCAAATCCACAATCTCACAACTATGACTCCGGTAGACTACCACAAGGCTACCAACGCCACTTCTTGGAAAGGGGGATGCTACAAATTGCTACCTTAGAATTACAATGTTTTATCTGACATTTTCGGCCATTTTGAGTTACTAAGACTATGAGGTCAGAAACCTAATATATTTTTTATATATGTATTCTATCTGCTCTATCAAAATCATATGATTACTTGGAGTCATCAAGATATTCTAAGAATTACATTTTAAAAAGCTTGATGTGTTGTTTAACTAAAAAAATTTTAACGTCAAATTTCTCAAAAGTAGGTGAGCAGACAGTTGAGCGTTGTAATTCTAGGGTAGCCAAATGTCGTAGAATGGAGCATTACCACCAGCGAGTGTGTGGAGGAACTGGGCAACATAGCAAGATAATTCTCGTACTTTCCCACAAAGTAGATTTATCATTCTACAGATCTACCCCCAGGGTTTTAAGCACCCCACATGATTTAGCCAAATTAGATCATTTTTTGCTTAATTTCTTATTATTTTCCTTTATAATTGTTAAAATTAACAGAATCGCATAATTTCACATTTTTGGGCTCAGGTGGCATAATTTCAGATTTTTTTTTGCCTGAAGCCACGGGGACAGATAGATAAAAACTGCTAGGCTGATACTGATAGCATATTATTAAAGTGCCCTCAAAAATTTTTCACACAACTATTGTCAAATATCTCAACTAGGGAACATAAAATCTCCAGCTTTTGCACAATGACTCGTACTCGTATCAATTGGTCGCTTTTAAGGACAAGCGGGCTAACCCAGACTTGGGGGGGGGGGGGGTTCAAGAAATCTTGACCTACACCAAAAGTGAGCATTGTCCTACTTTAAGAGAAGTTTGGTTTCATTGGTGTGCACATTTGTTTGGAAGTAGAGAAAACTATCCTTGTCTTTTAAAGAAAATGAACAAGGGGCAAAAACTTTACCTTCCATTTTCTCAAAAGAGCATTTTTGAATTTTTCGGTATAGCGCACTTGTGCTTAAAAGCGATCAATTTGTCTTTACAGTAACAGATCAATATTTTTGTAAACACCTGTTACTAGTGTTAGCTGTATTCTAGGAAATTCCTCTATAAATATTAATTTAAAATCCCAAAGGGAGGTTTCTTCTAGATTTTGAAAGTTTTGCAGCTGGAACGATATTTAAAAGCAAGTCTGTAATTTTTTACTAATCGTACATTATCTGAGTACGAGAATTATTTTGCCATGTTGCCCAGTTCCACATACAGTCAAACTCGGATATAACAGTACCGGCAGTCTTTCCCTGTTATAACCGTTATCAAGGGAAACTACTCGCACCATCGCACCTTCAGCTTACTATATATTCAATTACCGCAGATCCTATTCAGTGTGACTGAGATGGAATCGATCAGTGACCCCAACACTATGGGGACAGGGGGGTGTTTGTGTTTAGGCAAGCAACCACACCAACAGGGGAAATGTCTTGGTTAAGACAAATTTCAATAATTTGACGAACCGAAAGCAAGTTCATGCGCAGCAAGATTACTGTTCAATCAGAGTCTGCGCAAATTGAACCTTGTTAAAGTTAAAGCCAGGTTCATATTACTTTCACTCTAGAGAAAAAAAACCCACCCGAGAATTGATTTATCACTTACTGTTCTATCCAAGTTCCTGTAATAAGAGAGGCTGTTTTAAAAGGACTGGCCTGTACTCGCTGATTGTCAGGCTGGATTCACCAACATTTCACTACCTTAGAACAACAAAGTTCTATCTGCTCAGCGCCTAGTTTCGAGAAATTTGACATTAAAAAATTTTGAGTTTCACAATACTTTATCATTCTTCGTTAAAATTAACAGAATCGCATAATTTCACATTTTTGCACTCAGTTTGCATAACTTCAGAATTTTTCTTGCATAAAACGACGGGGACAGATTACTCACACTTTTGTACTTTCTCTATACAGGGTTTGGGCAAACCAACAGACATGATGCTACTCTACTTATAGTGCGGTGAAAAATTGTTGGTGCAACTTATCGTCAAATATATATTTTTTTTAAGTGAGTAAATGTCACCCATAACTTTGCTTCATATATTGCAAGTCTCCGCCACGCGGAAAATGGGAATATTTACGGCAATTCCTGTTTCTCACACATTTTGATACACATGTGTCACAGCTCACATATAACACTATTTAGTGGCAAAATTTTTACAAGAAATCAATTTAAAAGTGTACCCTTAGTTTGCACTTAAGTTCTCAAAACAGAATCAGATGTTCAATAAGCCGTACTTTCCAGCAAAGTAGTTTCATCATTCTATAAAAACTGCTAGGCAGATAGCAAACAAAGTAGAGTAGCATCATGTCTGTTGGTTTGCCCAAACCCTGTAAATAGTAGAAAAACGTGAAAAAAGGAGTCCGACTACTCAGACCTATCCAAGACAAACACCTATCCTCATTGGGAAAAAGTTGACCTTTTGGGCAGTGTCCATACAGAAAAAACTGTGTGTGTCTGGAGAAAGGTTCTAGTTGTCGGAAATGTTGGAATTGAAATAAGGGCATATTCTCGTATATAT